GTCCACATCATAGTCATAGCTGATAAGTGAGATAAATATTGGAAATTCCCCTAGCCTCTTTTTTTTTGGAGGGCGTATGGAGAGCGAACTTCACCACCTGAGTCACCATTCAAAAGCAATGTGAAATGATCCCTCTGTACCTCATATTTTTTCTGGCCATCTGTCAGCTGACTTCTATTTTCATCACTGCAGGAAATAGCCCCGTTCTTGGAATCCTGTTGACTGCTGCCTAAGTATTCGCTAAGTATTTCGTAACTCATGCTGCACCCCAAAAAGATCTATTGTGTTACGCTCTATGTAGAATCCCTCTAACCTTAGGCTACTTAAAAAATTAAGAGTCTTTTGGAGTTCCTCCTGGAAGGCCTCATGAATTTCTTTCATTGTCTCACACCCTTTGAATTTCGACAGTGTGTACCAAACTGAGATTCCTCCCAGCTAAGCAGTAAATATAAAGTTAAAGACAACGCCCAAAATATGGGTAGACATCGTGAAGGTCGTCGGTAAGACCTACGAACAAATAACACGCCGCACAGCATACTTTTCGACCCTAGAAAAATAATTTTTTAAGAACGTACATATTCAAATACCATTTCTTCTATCATAAAAACTATATTTGTGAAAGTAAAAAGTCCCGTAATTAATAAACCAAACTTAGTCTGCCTTTATTTAAGTGTTTAAATTTGTGTAAATATACACTTTTATCCTAAATAAGTTTTCAATAACTGTTTTATGCCACAACGTATGTGTGTTTTGCAATACACATTAATAGCAATTTCAGCAAAAAATATAACGAACTCGCCTAGCCATATCACAACTTATCCACTTGCAGGTAAATGCCATCTTGAGAGCTCACTAAGAAGCTGCTCTTATTGAGCACCATCGGTATTGGCGTCTTGTCACACACACTAAACTTGAAACTGCTCAGCAGACATGCTAAACCGACACGCGCCTGCATCTGGCCAAACCGCATCCCAATGCAATTGCGTGGCCCTTCACCGAAGGGTAAAAACTCTATGACATCACGTTGCGCTACCTCTTCCGGCGAAAAATGTTCGGGATCGAATTTATCCGGGTTGGTATATAGATCGGGATCGCGATGCATAGCGCCAGCGGGTATCAACACGCGCATATTCCGCTTAATGACATACTTCGGAAAGCCAGGCACAGGATAGTCTTCCAGGCATTGGCGATTCAATATTGGCAGCACAGTGTATAAACGTAAAGTCTCTACAATTTATAATACAAATAAAAGTAAAAAAAATAATGGCATACAGTTATAACAGAATAAAATCTAAAACCTACCTGATATTATCTGGTTCAAATATATCATTTCGCTCATACACTCGTAGGTCAGTTTGTCGCCGTGACGCGCCATCACCTCCAAAATTTCGTCCCGCGCCCTCTGTTGTACGTCTTCGTGCTGTGCCAGCTCGTACAGTGCGAAGCTCAGTGTGGTCGACGACGTCTCAAAACCGGCTATCAAGAACAAATACGCCTGCGCCG